GAGTGGTTTAGTGACCTCAGCCTGGTGTAGATTGACGAGGATAATTGCACACTGTATGTTGGCCATTTTTCCAACAGTTTGGTAGTACTGTGTTATAAAAATTATTGTATTAAGTTGCAGCCCAGTACATAGTAGGGAACTGAGCTGCAAGAGAGCACAGGTCAGGTTTAATGAATTCTCCCAGGTCACACTGTGTGTGTGGGAGTGTGTTTCTGTGGAATGAAAAGTCCCACACATATACTCATTCCTATCTCGAGCCTCTGTAATTATCATATTCACTATAATAAGCCCTTCTTTACATCCCTATAGCATCAGGAAATAGAGAGCTCTAATCTACAAGGACTTTGAGAGACAGAGACATAGTCTTTATCTTAAATTAGGGCATGCTGAGCTGTTTGTGGACATCAGTCGCTTGAGCGTTGACATCAAAGTAGCTGGGGTCGGTGCTGCCTTTGTATGTGTTTGTGGGCGAGCTGCTTATATCGCCCTCCATGCAGTTGATCAGACACTTGGATGGGCTTCCAGGGGCTTTTCTAAGGGTAACCTAGATTACAGCTCCTTGCATTAATACTGCATAAAGAAAACTTTAACCCTGTGACATGGTGTGGAGTTTTCAGTCCGGGGTGCGATACTCAAACATTGCTTCCTTCACGGACTTACGCTCTATAGGAACGACCCGTCCTAGCCTGTTCTGTTCAGTGAACGTATGTGTGACTGTTTGGGGAAAGCGTGTGCTCGTGTGTGTCTGGTGGTGTGTTGCGTTTGTCCCAATTTCTTTTGAAACTCAGGGTGCTCGTTCTTTGTTTTATGGGTCACCCATATAGAACGGGTCAATACAGTGTGTTGCCGTTCCTCTCAGGAAGGCACTGCCTCCCTGTTCTTAGATGAGTCTATTAATATTCTTTAGTTCAGAGATGGTGTTTGTCATTGCATGATGGGAGATTTGTTTATTCCTCTTCATAATTTTTTTCAGTGACAAATGGTATAAGTAGTCTAAATGAGTATGTAAGAGGATTGTCTTTGTACCTGTTGAGAAATTGTCTGACTGAGTCTCTAATAACCAAACATGTAGAGAAACATTGGAATTTAGACTACTTTGCTGCCCAAAGCAAGCTTGTTTATGCTGGTTAGTGCTAGTGTTAAGATAAGCATAGTCATACTGTGTAACAGCATAACTTTGCTGGTGGAGCTAGATGACCATTATGATCTTAATTGGTAAAATGGTTGCGTTACTAAAACAGACCATACGCACTTAAGGTGGTCAATTTGTTACAAATTGTCATGCTACAAAAACCAGCTTGACCACCAAAGATCGAAGGATGTTTATAGTCTTGACCAATATAGTCTACCAGGGCTAGGGTTGCAAAGGGGTGGAACATTTCCGGAAACTTTCCGAAAATCCCTTGGAAAGTTTCCGAAAATGCTTTGTAGTTATTATTTATTATTTTATTAAATAATATAAAGTAATTTTGTAAGACTTTTTACATTTAACTCAATTTTAATGATACTGAATTAAAAAAAAAAAAAAAATCCAATAAAATACCAACACTT